TATTAATTTAACTAATGTTTGAAGAATGTTCTCTTTTAAATTGAGCAGATCCTGAACGGTGATGTTGTCATGCCCAGGGCAGCAGTGTTTTTAAGGTTCAAAGTGGTGTCATGAATCATATTGTCATTAGTTTCTTCTATAAAGCAGCTTTTATCACAGTATCACACTAAATTGTAGGTCTCGCCCAGTAATGTCTATTTCAAGGATAACATGCTCCACAATACTCTTACCAGTTTTACCCACCTGTGCAAAAATGAGTATCGAATAATATGCGTAATATACATCCATTTTCCATTGATCAATGTGAATGATTACTCATACAGTGAGTTCTTTTTCATTACTTAATTGTTTTCGACCAATGATAATATCCTGGTCTCATTATTCCACTATTTAAGAACCAATCAGAAAATTCGACGTCCTCCAGCTGTCAGCATTGTTAATTAATTTTGTTAAGAAAATTAAATAAAAAACCGCATAACTCGTGCCTATTATCTATTAAGTATAGAAAAAGTATTAAATTCTACTCGTGGGTAATGGCTATTACTCACTCGTATGATTACACTACTCGCCTGCGGCTCGTAGTGCAAACTTTATCCTTCGTGAGTAATAGCCACCATTACCCGCTCGTTGAATAATATACTATTAATTTATATACTATGACATTCGGATTTTTTATTTCAATATTATTTACAGTAAGAGTTAGTACACAGCAGGAATTAGAGTCTATGGGAATGTTTTTTAGCATACTATTCAGCAACTTCCATTGTTTTTTTTTGAATTACTTCCTGCTTTGTCACGTTGTTGCATTAAACTTAACAAATCTTTAGTGATCCACAAGTTGTTGTTGTGACACTTTATTATAGTAGTGTATTCAAACTCCTGTTTACATAAATTTACCAGATCTTTAAGTTTCTTAAAGGAATCTATGTTAGTGTTTGTGACTCTATTTTCAAATATTACTGAATCTATTATAATTTATAAGTTTGATCTCATGTGTTGTCTTTAATCCTGTACAAGGTTAGATTCATGGTCCGGTAGGTTAATGTTGAAATCTCATACTACTATGTGCTGTTTCAGGTTGTTTGATATAATGGTCTCTGAGATATTAAATAACTGATCATTATTAGGTATAGGAAGGTTGTTTGTAGAATAAGCTCAATTTAGTACCATGATCCCCTATGCTTGCACTTACCTAGCTTAGATTATTATCTAGTGGGGATTTGCCTAGTTCTTTCAAGTTGATTCTATTTTTAACATAAATTGTACAGCCATTTGTCTTCTTCAGAAAGCCATGTCTGTCAGCATTAGCACATCACAGTTTTTTTGGTATGTATAACATTGCCCCTCATCCAGCTTATTACGTAAACTCTGGATAATCATGTACACTATATTTAATTTTTTATTCACATGTTTATTAGATTATTTTCATCTTCAATCAAAATTATCTTACTGTTTTCTTCTTTTCTTAATAATATACTTCCGTTGCTGATCCAGAGGAATCTAAAATTATCTTTTTTTTTTTAAATTTTTGTGCCTTTTTGAATAATTTCAAATTTTGTTTTGTCAGATCATGATTGAGGTAAATTTTGCCATCTATATTATAGCCCAGATTTTGAGTATTTAGTCCAACCTAAGTCCTACATTTGATGGATTCACCTACAGGTTATCCCCTATACTTTTCACAATGTCTATGACATTTTCATTGTCTTGATATGGAATACCATGAATAGTGATGTTTTTTGAGTTCTTTTTTCTTTGTTTTGTTCAACTATTTTTTGATTTGCATCAATTCTTCTTTTGAATTGTTGTTAATTTCAACCTTTTCATTGTACTTCAAATGGAGATTATTATATTTTTGATCCATGTCCTCAAGCTCAGCCATTACGTCAGCAATAGTGTAGGCGGCTGTTATTGGCTTGCTTCCTTTTTTGGAATTATCGTATCTAACATTTTTGCAGCTATCACATGCCCACGAATCTTTTGATTTTGACAACTTCTGGTAGGTCTTGGGCCCCATTGACATGCAAGCCCTATGATTCCAGATCGGACAAACATCACAGAAAAGTGCTTCATTATCATCATCTAATACCATTTTCTTGCATAAGTTGCATATTTCTGCTCCTCTCTGTTATTATTTTAAATATGATTAGAATTTGCTTGCAGAGATTTGGCAACGTTGCCCGTGAATCGACAGTGGATCCTAATATGTTTTGGCGAACAAAAAAAAAGTACCCAACAAGGTGTTGAATCCTGATTTTTTGTGAGGATCTTTCACAGCCTTTCTGGAACTCTAACTTCACCTATATTAATTCACTAAATGTAATTTTTGGATATTTTGTTTGAAAAATACCGACTTTCAGCTAATAAATACGCAGTCAACATACTTCAAGTTCTGAGTTCCATCAATGATTTTTCTATCTTACCATTTCAGATGCATGATTCTTGATGCTACATCTTTTAACTTGGTTCTTGCTCTTATCCAAGTGTTTCTACATTTTTGTCCCAGACAGAGTTCATAATTCGCCATATATTTAGTTTGTGATCGTTCTCTGTTCTTTGTAGATGTTCAAGTCTGAAAACTAGTGAAAACCATATTATGTCATACACATTGTTAGAGAATTCTGCTTTTCAGGAATCTTCTGGTTCAAAGCTTGCCTTAAACTGCTAATGCTAGCTCACTTCTTCGTGCAACTTCTACTGTTCACTTATAGTTGCTGTTATCGAGTTTCAGTGCATAGCCTAGGTGAATGTATTTGCTCACTTGTTCCAAACAGAGGTGTTCAGTAGTGACTTTTCTTTCCTCTTCGGCGTTACTTGTCATCACTTTTATGTTTCTCACATCCATCTTCAGGCCCATATCTCTTCCAAAGCTCTTGCCAACTGACTAGACGACTAGTTATCAACTGTAGCTGTTCAAAATTGTTGGAAATAAGTACAATGATATTGGGGAACCGTGAAAAATTTGTTCGTTTGCCGATTATATTATTTATGCCATGTTTAGACTAAGGCTATTCTAGTATTTTAAATACATCCTCCATTGCCAACGTGAAAAATTTCGATGATATCACATCTTCCTGTCTGACTCCTCTCTCAAATGGAATGGAATTGGTGTGAGGTCAATGTAGCAGGTATAGTTGTTATGGGTGAGATGTCTGTATCGTGAGTCAATTCGAGAGCTGTTTATTGCTGTTTCTACGGCCCATAGCCATGTTGGTATCGTGTCTTGATTTAAGACATTTTATGCTTTTATTCCAATCTATGACTTTATATTTCATGTTCTGTTGTTTGTCTTCATGCCTTCTTTGAAAGTTATTTGTACTTTTGAAATAGGGTTTCATTCCCAAGGCTCACTTCGGCAGGGCTGCGTTCCTGAAAGCGGTGCTAAAACCTGAATGGCCATGCTAAGACTGAAGGAATGCCAACCACTTTTCGGTTATAGGTAGGTATGTTAAATATCAAAAACAGCTTAAAAATCCAAAACAATATAATTATACAGGAATTGACATTTAAAAAAAAAACATAATGGAAAAAAGATGTTATGTTATTGTTATGTGTAATACTGAGAATTAGAAGAAGCTTTATTTGGAATTAAACAGAAAAAAAACAAAGGTTGCCGAAGAATAGCCCAACTGGGCTTGGCAGCAGATATCGATAGAAAACAAGGATGCAAATATACCATGTACCATGAGGTCCAAGAACCTCAGAAATAGTGTAAGAAGTCTCCCGAAGATAATCTGCAAAGGATGGCTGACAACAATTTGGATCTAAATTGCTCTAGGCAGAAAACTATGGAAAAAACATAGCTTGAAGAAGAAGAAGAAGAAGAAAAAGGAGAAGTGCTGAGATACAGCTGAATTCTGAACATGCGATGGTCGAAATTTTTAAATCTGTAGAAAAAGTATAAAGTTGACATAGAGGTTTTTTTTTTCCTGAAATTGGGTAATAAGTATCTAGTTATTCGTTGATTTATACTTTTCCATTGAACCAGCCTAGCCTGCATTTATTTCGAGTTTTCGCATTTATATTGGAACCTTCCATTTGCAAAAACTCCGCAGAAATAACCCAAATGAGCAGTTAGTCAAAAATCCGATTTATAATTAGTTTTCAGATTCCCGGTTTGTTTGGTAATGTTCGACAAGCTCTGCCTATTTGCGACGTCAATACAAGTTTCTGAACAGTATAGGCAAATCCAGATAAATAGTTTAAACACTCTATACCCAAGCCTGAAAACCAAGCATCTGTGTTTGGTAACTGGATTAGATGCGCCACGGCAAACAATGAAAATGCAGCAAATTCCCAGGTTGCAGCTGCAGGTGCGTTTCAGTTTCTGGTTAAGCATATTAAATTGTTGTTTAATGGATTTTGGCTATGAAACATTTGATTATTTTGAATATAATTGAGCACCTGTTTGAAAACTTGGATTGGAATGATATCCAGCTACATTATTTAGTCAAATATTTTAAATATCTTTACGATTAGCTCGCTTGAAATTCAACATAATTAGTACTAAAATTCTCTCAAGCAATATATGGCTTCGTCAATGCTATTTCTGGTTAATTACTCTGCATGATGGATAATTTATTTGCTGCTTTAATTAAAATCAAATAATATTCTTTGATGAACTTCATCATCAAATGGCGGCGTGAGGAATTTGCTTTTACATTTTAGTTTAAAGGACACGAAAATAGCGGTTTCCTATCAAATCATAGCTACTATTTGCATATTTGTGCATTTAATAACATCAAATTATGCCGCAATTTCAAAGGCAAAACCTCTTATTTTCTACTTTGAACGGAATGCATATCTACCTTCCGAGAAAGACGGTAAATATAGCTATTTAATGTAAATTTTAGGAATTTCTTAATTTTTTATGCCGGGTTTGACTATTAATTTTTGTTTTTGACACGTGAAAATGTAGAACATCTCATGCAAAAAAAATCTCCCAACTAATATCTATTCATAAAAGTCAACTTTGCGAACTAATTCTTTTGAACTCTTACCTTTATTTACTATGTTCAGTTTTGGATTTTCACATACCTGAAACAAAAAACATCAAATTATTAATAAATCATAACAAAGACAACTTCGGTCGTAAATTTTGCATTTCGAAAGCGACGGATTTAAAATGCATTTTGCCAGCACAAATAAATTTTTCTTTATAATGACAGGTGATAAATTAAGGCAAATGCTGGACATAAATTCTGCTAAAATAATAGCTGCTACCTTGGACTTTATTGATTTTACGAGACAAACACGTAACCTTAGACTCTAATGAAACTGGGAAAGTTGATTTTTCATTAGATTTTGCTACCGGTAATTTCTGTTTTCATCTAACTGTTGAATTCTAGAAATATAAGTTTTTTCTTGTAGACAGGAAAACTAAATCCTAATTGTTTTCAACGTGGATTTTTTTCTTGGTTTCAAAAGCAAATTTAAATCAATGATGCATTTCCGAATGGACCTGTATAAATATTTGCTCCAATTTAGGTTGTGTTATTGTTATACCCAAACACACATTGAAGATTAGATACAGATCGTTTCACCAGTGTTCATACTTAACACATTCTATTTTTTTGACAAATTAAAATGAATGACTTCTGTGTATTGACGGCAAAAGAGGACGGTTCTCTTGTGGCAAAAGCTAAAGCTAAATTCGTGTTGACATTAGACCCCTCCTTATATGTGCATGTGAAGGGCGCAACTACATGCAATGAAGCCTGGGATAAGATCAAGAATCCTTACGAGGACGTCGGATTCACCAGGAAAATTGGGTTATTGCGAAATTTGATTTCGTTGAGGTTGAACAATTATTGTGAAAATATGGAGTCGTACGTAAACTAAGTGATTGAAACATCGCAGAAGTTGAGGAAAACGAGTTTTGACATAAGTGAAGAATGGGTCAATTGCCTTTTTCTAGTTCTTCTAGCAGGTTTACCAGAAAATTAGGCCCTCATGTTGATGCAGGGATCACTATCACGACAGAGTCCATCAAGAGCAAACTTCTCGATATGCAGGTTGATGGATCTGGTGGTAACAGCAATACAGGTGCTTTTGCAGCAAATTCTGGAGCTGGTTGCTTTAAGAACAAACCAAGAAGTGGTGCTGTCGGCGGTGGACGAAAGGACAATTTCAATGCCAGAGAGAATATGAATGCCAGAGGGTGACGTTCTATCATTAAAAAGTTGAATCGTTCAGCAGAACCAAGAGTTTACCCAACATATTCTGTTGGTAATTGTAAACTGTTTACAATCCGTTTTGGTTCTGGTGAACGTAGCCAATAGTAGTGTGAATGAACAGCACAATAATATAACCGTTTATGATGTGTTATATGTGCCAAAGCAATAAGTGAGCTTATTTTAAAGGGAAATCGTATATCAATTAACCACATGGTTGTTCGATATAGAGTAGGTACAACAAATTGGTGGCGACAGCAAATTTGATTGGCGGAGTAAACAAGTTAAACCTCAAAGCCGATAAATGTATGCTTGCCAGTTGTGATAAAACTGAACTTTGGCATAGGAGGTTTGCACACATAAATAGTCAAGACCTAAATAAAATGAAGCACTGTGTGAGTCAAACTGTGTTGTGTGTTGTGAAGCCAAACAAACAAGACTGCCTTTCCCAACCACAGGTACATGAAGTAATCAAATACTTGAAGTTATTCCTGGAGATGTATGTGGACCTATGGAGACGATTTCAATAGGTGGCTCAAAATACTTTCTGCATCCTGTTGAAGACTTCAAGAATAATATTTGTATACTTTTCAAAGGCATTGAATGAAGTCTATGAGTATTTCAAGCAGTTTGAAGCCATGGTAGAAAAGCAAAAAGGCAGAAGTATGAAAGTTTTTCGCAATGACCAAGGTGGTGAGCTTCATAGTGATAAATTTGACTGCTTTTTCAAGGCAGAAGGCATGTACATCAGAAGACAAATGCTTACACCTCTGAGCAAAATGGTCTTTCAGAAAGACACAACCGTACACTGGTAGAAAAAGCGAGATGTCTTCTTTTCGATGCAGATCTGCACAAAAGGTTTTGGGCGGAGGCCATCAATAAGTCTAATTTTTTAAGAAATAGATCCATCGCCAGTGGGCTAAGTAGAAAAACACCTTTCGAACTGTGAACTGGTGAGAAACTCGATGTTCTAGGATTACGTGTCTTGGGAGGTACAGTTATGGCTCATGTTCCAAAACAGAAGCGCTTGAAATTTGACAAAAAGTGCTACTAACATATTTAGGTTGGCTTCTCAGATCATATCAAAGTTTATAGAATTTACAACCCAGACACTGATGATGTGACATGTACACATGCATGAAAACCTGAAAACCAACAAGATGGATATGTCGTGAAGTGACAGAGGAGGAATCAGTTCGAGTGGGAGAGAGTGAGCATAAACAAATTTTTGCATAAAAAAGAGAAAAGCTCCGCTAGTTCATTGCAAAGCTCCGCACTCTCTACCCGATTCACAGTTTCCAACTAATCTAGACTCCGCAGACAGTGACTATGTGCCAGATTTGCCAAAGATAAATGTTGTTGATCAAGAAGTTGTGAGAAAATCTCAGAGGACAAAGCGAGAAAAGCAGTTCAATGACTACGTTACATATCTGAGTACTGACTGTCAAAATGCTGCTTATTTACCAGAAGAGGCTCCTGTGACAATGACAGAGAGAAGAATGCTAGGCAGCATGATTATAAGTGTTTAGTGCAAAATGAGTCTTGGGAAATGGTAGATGCGCCTGTGAAAAGTGTAGTAGTTATTGTATAAGATTAAGATAGATAAGGATAGTAACAAGACCTATCGTGCTAGGCTAGTAGCTAAGGGCTTCACCCAGAAAGAGGGAGTAGAATTTAATGAAACATTCTCACCTGTTGTGAGATATTTAACACTCTGTTTTCTGATTGCATAAAGCGTTAACACAGGACTTGATATTTCTCATTTAGATGTCACCTCAGTTTTTTTGCATGGAGAATGGAAGGAGACTATTTATATGAAGCATCTAGAGAGTTTTACAAATCAAAGTTGTGCTCAATCCAGCCATTTATGGTCTCAAACAATCATCCAGAGTTTGGTATATGAAGGTCGAAGTAGTATTGTCTAACCTTGAGTATACAAAGTCCAAGTTTGAACCTTGTGTGTTAATAAAAAACAGAAATGACCTGATAACAGTGGTTGCTTTATACATCGATGATTTTTTCATTTTTTCTAATGATAAAGTAGAAACGGGAAATTTTAAAAAAGAATTAAGTAACAATTTTCAGTAAGAAGATTTAGGCGAAGCTAAGAAAATTTTGGGAAAGAATATTTGTATCGATAAAGCTAAAAAAGTCATAACTTTGGATCAGAGTCAGTCATTGTTAACAAAGTTCAATATGGCAGAGTGTAAAACTGTGGAGAACAATATTAATTTGCGTCAAGGTAAAGAAAGTTCTTTTCCAGTACCATATCAGCAGTTGATTGGCAGCCTTATGTATTCAAGTGTAATGACTAGACCTGATATCTCTTTTAGTATGAGTTATTTGAGTCAATTTAATAACTGTTTTGAAAATGTATACATTGGCAGCATGCAAGAAGACTTATAAAGTACCTTAAAAAGACTAAAGATTATTGTCTGAAATTTGAAAAGAGTTCTAGTCATTTAGTGGGATACGTGGATGCTGCTTGGGCAACAACATTGTAGACAGAAGGCTTTTATTTCACTTTATCAAATTCCTTGATTTGTTGGGAGAGCACCAAGCAGAAAACAGTAGCTCTATCCAGCATAGCAGCCAAGTATATGGCCTTATCAGAGGCTCTATTACGTCAGAAATTTGTGGCATGAATTAGTTGATTCTTTTGATAATGTTATTTTATATAGGGATAACCATAGTGCACGAAAGTTTTCGTTCAATCCAGTTTTTCATAAAGGTTCCAAGCGTATTATAGATCTGCGTCACCATTTTATTAGAGAATCCATTGAAGGTGGTAAGATAGAGGCTAAATATCTGGAATCGAGTGAGATGCCAGCGGATATCTGGACAAAAGCTTTAGGGTCAACCAAACATTATAAATTTATGAATTTTTTGGCTATTGTACAAGCAAGATAGCTTAGATTTTATGAAGAAGCTTGTTGGTATGTTAAACCTATCTTTCATTTTTATGTTTTTAGTTAAATAAAACTGCTGGTATATTTCAAACCCGTAGAGGTATTGTAATAAGTTTGAAATATACAGGGTGTCCCACAATCAGCGTTACAGGCCATAACTTTCTTATTTTCAAACATAAAAATTTGAAACAAAAAAAATATTAATGGCTAATTAAGCTCTCTTCAAAAATATAAAAAAATCATCCCCTGAAAAAATCATCCCCTATTTACAACCCTTGACTTTTTTTTTTCAAATGGCACCCCTATTATTTATTTTTTATTTTTGAGAAGCTTATGAAATTATAAATTTGTATGGTGTATAAAAAGTTTGTTTTTCCATGTCTCTTGGGGGAAAAAAAATGGGTGTCCCACCCTTATTCTTATACAAAGCATAAAAAAGTATTTTTTATTCAAGAGTTTGTTAGTTTTTTCTGATTGGGGCCATATCAACCTCGCTAGTTTTATGCGCCCGATTTTATTGACCCAACAGATCCCCAAATTTGCATTTTATTTTATATTGTTATACAAATTAAATTTAAAAAATAGCTCTGGTGCTTTTAACGCTCTGATGCAGTTTCGAAATAAATATTCAAAATAACCCGGTGAATAATTAATATACAGTAGGAAATACTTTTGGATCCGTTATTTAGTATTCAAGCATGCATTTCAGTCGATGAAAATAGTGGAAATTTATATGCAATAATTTTAAAACAAAGTATTGTTTATTACTATGGCCAGCTATTAGTTATACCAAATTATTATTGGTCGAAATTTTACACTGTTCATATAAGATATCAAGCATTATTGAAATGAAACAGAACCAAGATAGGCGTAGAACAAACCTAATCAATTCTTACTTATTCTTCAACTTTTTTATAATAAGGCATACAGTACAAAATAAATTAGCAATTGGAAAAT